AGGGGTAGTAAAAAATTTGTGTAGAGAGCAGATCATCACCTTCAGCCTTCAGCAGCACTATATCCAAGCGATTGCTTCAAGTTGCAGAGGATCCTGAATATTCAAATTGGGTAACTAATACGTTATGGATCTGTGCAGAACTTGGCCACGGCAATTTTAGAAGATCAGACCTTCTCCTCAGCTAGTTTGAGACCTTTAAAGAAGGGAATAAAACAGGATACTCTTTAACGTGCAAATGTGGGCTGGAGGAGAAGGACAATGAGGGAGAGAAGGGTTCAGAAGAGGCAGCTTCTCGTGGCAGGAGATGGATGCACAAAGAGCTGGAATGTGAAGCCTCCTGTGTGGGTTTGCTGTGTAGAAGAGCACAAAGCTCGTGGGCACTGCAGGAGGAGGAGAGGAGGCTGCAAGGGGCAGGGTGCTTACAGAAGGACAGCAGAAAGGTGCCAACAGACAACGGTGAGAAGGAGAAGAGATGCAGCAAAAGCCCTGGGCTTATCAGGAGGTAAAGCAAAACAAGGAGAAAGGCCCAGGAGAAGACCCATTTTGGTGGCCTAAAAATACACTTGTGAGAAAGAATGTGACTTTCACCTTTTCAGTATATCTCTGTAAAGAATTACAGGTCATGAAAACGGTGTATGAAAACACAACTGTTCTTTTAGCTACACGTATTGTTTAATCCTGGAGCTCAGAGGAGGGGAAATTCCACCCCAAAATCCATCACCAAGGGAACATTACCTCCTCCATGAAAATATTTCTTTGTCTCAGCGAATCTCGTTTTGAGTCACGACGTTTAATGTGAGAACTGGTCTTCATTTTGCAAAGTGAAATCACCCTCAGTCAAATACTCGTCATGCTTACGTAACTAACACTTCGAGACACCTTGCGTCCTAAGTGCACTTAGGGCAACATTTTCACATTTCGTTATTTAATTCCCAGCACCCAGATTTTTCATCCAAAACTTCTGACAGCTGCTCAGATTTTCAGGCGGCGGAGAAAGCAAATTCAAACTTCAGACGGATAGACCTGCTAGACCCAAGGAAACCAACAAGAACATGAATTTTTCACCAAACAGATGTTGTCTGCCTTGTAGCACGGAGGTCACGAGCACCAACAGCAAAACAGCACCAGAAGCCCAGCAGCACGGAGCACAGCACCAGAAATTTTTGCTACTTCAGGAGATCTAGCCTTTTGGTTTTGAGTATTTCTCTACTACAGGCATATCCATATGAAAATGCATTTCCCACTGTGTTTGGCTCACTGTAGGCCTTACCCATAAAAACTCAAATTTGCAAATATAAGAAATGCCCTCGGGGAAGTATAGCTGTTTTGTCCTCTGCAGGATTCTTCTCACGCATGGCAAACATTACTAACAATCTAGTTAAAGTCTGCAAGGTTGTTTGGAGGGATTGTTATCTTTCCTTCCTTTAGCTCACATTTGGTGGGGATCTTTCAAAGCCATGTCAAATGTATGGAAAGCCTGTTCTGTTTTGACAGCATCACTTACTTTGTCAAGTTTGCAAGCAAAAAGTCTAGAGACAGTCCTGAAAGAGTTAGCTCCTGCTTCTCCTAAAAACTTTGTCAAGGTGGCTTCATGGTTTGACACTTAGAGGAAATTGCCTCCCAGACATAGAAAGCAATCGGTCTGAAGCATTAGGAACAAACTTTCCTGGTATGAACTTTACCCAGTCAGCTCTCTTTATCCATTTCTGTGCATTCTGTAAGTAAAAAAAAAAAATAAATAGCTTGCTTGTAGACTTTGCAATTTCATATAGCCCATTAAGTTACTTAATTTTGCTATCAATAGCACATGATGTGATAAGCAAAACTGTTTATTTGCCTTAGGAAAAATAGCAATGTGGTTGCATCACGGGTGTTTCTGAGTTGACAGGGCTTTCCCTGGGGCTACTGAGGAGCGCTGGAAAGAAGAACAGGCAGAAAGCATGGAAAGAAGGGAGAGGAATGGCAGAAAACACAGGTGCAGTGGTTTAATCTCCTGGTCCTTCAAGTCAGACAAAAGAATAATTACAATTACAACTATTCTCTCTCAAACATTCCTGTTAGGAGAAAAAACAACAACAACAGCAACAAAACAGCACTCTTGAAGCCAACCAATTTGAAACAAGTATTTAGTTTTAGACCCTTCGTATCTGTTTAGCTCTCCTGTGGACCGTCTTTCACCATCACATTCTCATTTTTGTTGCATTCGATACAGAAATGTTGCCCCAACTTTGACCAGTTACTGTGGGTACACATACAATGCTGAAAGTTGAGTTTGACAGACATTTACTTTTGAAGGAATTAATCCACAACTGGATTCTAATTTTAAAACGACTCAAATCTTTTAAAAGCGCTAATTCAAGCTGTAATACACATTTGCTGAGAACCTGTACTTAGGCAATAACAAAGACTCTTATAGGACACATATCAGACAAAAGTTCATGTATTATAGAGCTTCCTTTTCTTAGACGTCTCCACAAATCAAGCAATGCCTAACTTGGATTTGGGACAGCCTGCTTTGAGAAAATCAATACAACCTGATAAAAGCCTAAAGCTAAAAACCACTAACACTCATTTCAGGGTATTTCATTGAATATCAGACTATTACTCTCAGCATTATCTAAGTGAAATCCGTCCTTGAGGAGCTCAAAGCAGCAACGGTTCAGTTTCCACTCGCAAAGCCAGCTCGCTGTCCTCTGCAGCAAGGATGACTGATCTCTGATTCAATTTTGCTTCCCGGTCAATGTGTTTGGTTTCTTAACGTTTCATAAATGTCTTGCCTAGAAACATTTATGACTAAAACCTGATTTACAGTAGGACAAAGGAGATCCAAAACACTGTCGAGTCACAGCCAGAGTCCTTCAGGTCAACCTTTGGCTAAGGGCAGCTCCCAGAACTGTGGCTCTTATCATGCCATCAGGGTGCTCAGAAAAACAAACAAGCAGCAGCGTTATCACTTTGACCTGACAGCACCTTACACGTGTGCGTTATAAACTTGCATTATCATTCCTGGAAACACATTGTATAGCATAAGCACTCTGGATTTCCCATCCGCCATCTTCCAAACCCTCTCAGGTTGAGAAGTGTTAACAAAATCACCATTTTTTCCGAACGGTAATTTCCCTATAGGTCTGACAAGCTCTTCATCTCCATGTCACAAGCATTAATTAATTTTATATATAAAATATAGGTGAAAAGACTATTTTACCTTCAGGATTCAATTAAAATAACTCATTATATTGCTAAGGCTTGATACCGCTGCGTTACATATGCATGTTTTTATTCCCCACCCATGAGCTACCCCATCAGCATTAACAGAGTTCCTCAATTGTCCTGAAATTTGAGAGGCCTTGAATTTCTATAGATTAAGAAGAAAATGGAGAACGGGGTCAAGCTCTCAACACACATTTTTTTGTGGAAAGGATTTTAAAAGCAACCCACGTTCTCACGAAGTATATTTAAGGATTTTACATAAAAGGGCCCATTCAAAAATATGCTTGTGACAACATATGAAAAACCCTTTAGTACCCTGGAGCAGCTGTGACTTGGTAAAATCTAATTATTTCTCATGTGCCCATTGGAATTCTCCAGGAATACTAACTGTAATTTCTAACTGCTGCCACAAGCTCTGGGCCAGACTTGGAACAGTACCAAAAGGTAGCTGAATGAGTGCCGTATACAACTTTTATGAATATCCCACAGGTATATGCTAAGGTTTAGTGATACGGCACAGTAATATAGCACCGCAATCAGGTAACTAATGCAACTAAGTGAGGCGTGAGCAATACCAAATACACAACACTTTTGAAAAATGATGCTATAATCTTCACGGGGTCTCCGTTAAAAGATCTACTTGTTATTCAGAGCATCTCAAAAGTCTTCCTTTGTCACCAGTCCATTGTCCTGCCCCACACAACCGAACACACCAAGTACCACGTCTGTGCAGTACATGTGCATATGTACGCAAATGGACAAGCGTGAAATGTGCTATATATACATTAAAATTTATAAGCAATACAGCACTGCATACTGAGCTGATTAGGGCACAGCTCACCCTGCCAGGACTGTCAACAGAGACCCCTGTACCTTAACTCGAAGTGAATTTCTTATTAGTTTTTACTGTCTTTGGGGAAAGATTCGAACTGAAGCGATAAAGAAATAAATAAATAAATCCCTTTCCCTTGTTGTCAAGGAAGACCAATCCAGGATTTCTTTTTTAAACCTTCTGAATAAATACGGAACGTATAGAGCGTTTCAAATATAACGCTTCCAACACCTGAATATCACGTACGACAAGCAGTATCAAACAAATCCATTAAAAATCCTCTTTAAAAAGGGTGAGCCTGGACTCCTCCTGGTTTGTTTTTGAGGAAAGGCGAACAGACGGACGTCCAATGTCCAAACTTTGGGAGGAAAAGCGCCGCTTTCCGGGGCTTTCCGTGGGCCTCAGGGACACGGAGCTCCGGGAGCTCGGCCTGGTGCCAGCAGGCGTGGGGACCCCACGTCCCCTGCTGACAGGTAGGGTGCGGAGAACCCCACCTCGTCGGTAATTACTGAGGGTGCTAATTACCGGGCTACCAATAAATGGACGTTTATTGAGGGAGATTTGGCTTTACGGATGAGTATCTGGGGAAGACTCTTCATGGGTTGCCCTGCAGCCAGGTTTTGTCCCAAAAAGCCTTCCCCAGTGCCAAGGCCACCCGCCCTGACACACGGGGGGGGGGGGGCGGCTAAAAAACACACAAACGCTTTTTAGCAGTTTTTTATTTTATTTCCCATTTTCCCCCAACACACCAAACCCCCCCCCCCCCGTCAGCCATGGCGCCGCCGGCTGCTCCCCCTAGCGACGGCCCCGCGCGCACCCCCCACAAGCCCCGCCCCCTCCAAGCCCCGCCCCCTCCAGGCCCCCAAGCCCCGCCCCTGGCGGTGACGCGCGGCCCCGCCCCCGCCGCGACTTGAGGGCGCGCGCCCGGCTCCGCGCAGCTCCGCGGCACCGCGCCGGGATCGCGGCGCCCGCACCGCCGCCGGCCCCGCAGCTCGGCCCCTGCCCACCCACCCCCCCCCCAACCCCCTCCTCCGGCTCCTCCTGCCCCGACAGCTTAAAAAAGCAAAACGAGCACCGAAAGCCGCGTTAGGGATCGCCGCGCCCCGCAGGTAAGCGCGGGGCTACGCGCTGCGACGTGCGCGGGGGGTCGGGGGGAAACGGGGAGCGGGGCCCCGGGGACTTCTCGGCAACTTCGCGGCCGGAGCCCCCTGCCCTGCCCTGCCTTATCCCGCAGCCCTCCTCGTCCTCACCCCCTCCCCAAAAATCCCCCCCCCCCCAACCCCAAACCCCCGTCCCCCGGCAGCCGGCCGGAGCCTTTTGTTTTCCCATCCCCATCCCTGCAAGTTCGTCCCCGCGCCGAGCCGGTCCTGCGGCAGCGGGCAGGGCTGCTCCTTTTAGTGGTAATTATTTCTATTAATTATTATTAATTATTGCATCCCCCCCCCACCCCTCCGCGCTGCTGGCAAGGCGCGGCAGGAGTTGGGCGAAGCGCTGCAGCCCGCGGGGCGCCCACGCGGTCCCGATCCCAAACCCGGTCCCGATCCCGATCCCAAACCTGGTCCTGATCCCAATCCCGATCACAGTCCCGGTCCCGATCCCAAACCCGGTCCCAGTGCCGGTCCCCATCGGGTCCGGAACCCCGAGGAGCAGAGGACGGAGAGGCCGGGGAGCTGCCCGACTTTAAAAAACCCCCCTTCATTATCTTGACCCCGATATTTGATCTTTTTTTATTATTATTTTTTTTCCCTCCCTTCCCCTGAAGACGCTGCCCGCAGAGACGGGAGCAGCAATTAACTGCGCGCCCTCGGGTGCCCGGGGCTGCGGCGCCCTTAATGAGCGGCGCTCGGAGTTGGGGTGAAAAACGCTGAATTAGGAGCAAAAACCGCGTCTGTGCGTTGGGGTGTGCGGGGAGAGGAACGATCTGCTGCGAAACACGGAGCCCTGTGCGCTGCCCTTGGCCATCCAAGCCACGCAGCGGGTCGTAGCGGAGGTTTGGGTGCCCTTCCCTTCCTCCCCCCCCCCCTTAAAATACCCTCAAGTTTCCTTTAATTTATTCCCAAACCATACAATGCAGCCCTGTGTCAGATCGGTTTTCAAATACTTCATAAACAAAAGGTACGCCGGGGTTTATACGGGGCCAATTAGCCTAAAATATACTGAGGTTATTCTAATCGTCCTATTTGTGCTGCTGTCGAGCTTCTCAATTTCTCCACCGACGTTTAATCACTTCGAAAAGCTGTGTTTATTTTTCCTGCCTTCCCTGCTCCTCCTGTACACCAGAAACGGAGACTGAGCCTCGGTGTACATTTAAAATGTTAATTTTTTTTTATTTTTTATTTTTTTTTTTTGGTACATTTGAACCACTTCATTTTAACTGGAAAGTGACCAGAAAAATACCGCTGTTCATGCGGTCAGCACGGGAAATAAGGGTTCTGTAAAGTCTCTGAAAGGGTGATTTATTTTATTTTCTTTTAATTCCCCCTTCGGAGGCCGCCTCTGTTTTTCTCAACAGGAGACTTTTGGTGTAATTAAAGCAGAGAAAACTGGACAGCAGCAAAAAAGCATCTGACTTGTGGCTCTCAAAGCACAGTTTTTGCAGCGTGTACCACCCCCCAGTGGGCAAAAAAACTCTGTAGTAAACTCGCAGCGAGCTTTCATCTTCGCAAATAAAAGCGTGCGTGTGTTGCAGCCAGAACGAAATAAAGGTGCACGTCTGGGGATTTTGCTGTGGGGTTTTCTTTGGGGTTTCCCTCGGCACCCCGTAGCTCTGGGGGGGAGGCAGCAGAAGCGGAGGCTGCAGTTTGCAAACTTGGTGCGGCGGCTCTCGGGGGCGGCCTGGGTTGGTAGCTGGCCATCTTTGTCTGCAGGCAGTGCGAAGGGGCTGCTGCTCCTGCAGCCTTCCCTAATCGCCTCCAGGCACGAGGCGGCACGGAGTTTGTAGGATTGGGAGGTTGTGGGGTTGCCAGCGGGAGAGTCCCCTGTGTCCTGGGGGCCCTGGGGAGCAGCCGGCATCCTCCCGAGTCGTGCAGCCAGGAACAGCCGACCTGGCCCCTCCGTGGTGCCCCAAGTTTTCTGTTCCCGGGGCAAATCCCAACGAGGAGGCAAGGGTTTGAGAAGGGAGAGAAACAAATCCACCGCAGCCGTATCTCTTTGAGCGGTATTTTGTTGTACGCCGAACGGTTTGTGCCAGGAGCTCCGTGGCAGGTATAATGCCACCTGCATTTGTCAGAGGGGAAAAATGATTTTCCCCTTGAAAGCACGGCAGCGTTTGTGCTCCGTTCTCTCGGCTGAAGCGCAGGCAGGGCAGCTCACCTCGGCAGCACCTCTCGGGAGAAAACCCAGCAGCCATCGCTGGCCAAAGGGGGTGAGGCGAGCGCTGAGGCAGCGAGCACGAAGCGGAGCAGAGCGCTCCCCTCCAAGCGCCTCAGGGATGGGCAGCCTGTGCCCGAGCCCAGCGCGGCCCGGAGCGAGCACCATCAGCATATGGCTGGCAGTGAACTTTGGAGAATGACCACTGAACAACTCTGGGTTCACTTCCACCCTCTGCGGCAAACAGGGGCTCGGCAAGCCTTGGGTGTGGAGTTAAACTTCTGCCCAGCATCCATTTCTGAGCCAGGGAGAGAGAGCACACCGAAACCTGCATTTTTTAAGACATGGGAGTACGGCAGAACCAGCCAGCCAAAGGCAATATTATGTATGTGCAACTACTGCATAAGGTGGGGGGGGAGCCAAAAAAATAAGTAACACCTATCTCCAAGGCGGGGAGAGGCAAATTTCACCAGACTCTGCCCTGGGGAGCTCACCGGCACCTCACTGAAAGCCTCTGCATTCTCCAGCCCCCCGAAGGCAGCCAGGGGACCTTCTGCTTGCCTAGCGCCGAACAAAGGAGCGGGGCACCTTCCCGAAACACGATAATCGTGGAAATTTCAGCCCCTTGCTTAGAGAGCGTTTTGCTGTCACGATCAACTAACTCCGAGTCAGACACTTCAAAAAACACAACACGGCGCGTGAAGTACAGGTTAGCGGTGGGGAGGCGGCGTTGAAAAGTTTGTGAAGCTTTTTGAGAGGAACCCTGGCTTTTGGGAAGTAACCTGGCTGTGCAGGGAATAGGTGGCTTCACCGCTGTTTTGAAGGGCGGGGAGCACAAAACATGTTGTGTTTCTGCTCCAGTTCAGGATAGAAACCAACATGGAGGTAATTCTGCAGTGTACGAGCACTCATTGAGGTAAACTGACTGAGGCTTGTCGAATGCACGTATCCTAACACTTCAAATGTTACTTCTGTCCTTTATAACCTGAAAAGCCTGGACAGAAGTTGCCATCCTTGGCCCTGTGGGGTTGGTGGTTAGAAATAAGCCCTTGCTTTTTGCAGCTCCCTGAGCTGCTGGCAGGGACCGCAGAGGTGGAGTAGAAATTCAAGTAAGCACTGTGTGACCCGAAGTGCGCCAGGTCTGGATTTTATTCAGGTTTTATCACAGCTTGGAAAGAAGAAATCTGTTTGGCACTGCTTTTAGGTAAACTCCTGGCTTTTCAAACATACCAAACCTTTTTTTTTTTTTCTTTTTTTTTTTTCTTTTTCCGCCCTGCAGCTTGCATGCAAGTCAGGCGGCGCAGCTGGATACCACGTGTTACAGTAAATACAGTGCTCTTTGGTGGGTTTTCTCGTACAGTGCAAATTACCTTCCACGTTTTAAAATGAGATTCCCCCCCCCCCCGTAGCTGCAGCCCAGCGATAAGTGCAGGCACAAGTCTCGGGCATCCCCCAGATGTAGCAATGTGCTTGCTTACACGGTGTCCCAGGAAAAGTAACTTAACACTGCAGTCCAGCACAGTCCATGAAAACATTCAAATCCGAATAAAGATAAGCATAAAAGCTCTGTTCAGTTGTTCTGACATTACTCTTGTTACCAAAAAAGTCTTTTTTTATTTTTTTTCCCATTTAAAAAAAAATGAATTTTGGCACCTGCTTTCTGAAATCCATCTTTTTCTGCTCTGCTCAAAATTAACGCCTCCTTTCAAAGCCATGTGTCCATGAAGCCTCCTAATTTGATGTCGCGGAGACCTGGACACAGCGCCTGGCCCAGCGGGGGTCACTTCTCTTTTCATCCTGCAGGATCAGCTATAATGGCTGGGTGTCAGGGAATATTTAGAGACAGCTCAAGAGGAGGAGAGTTTGAGCATGGCAGCAGGATTCCCTTCTTCTCTGTAGACAGATCACTGGAGCCTTTGATATGCAAAAACATTGTTTTCAGCTATGGCTTGAGATATAAAAGGGAAGTGCAAGATATCAAACAATCAGAACCTGAAGAAAACTATTCTAAGTTTAGAAAAGGGAGTGGGGGGTATGGTCTTAATCCACATTTTTGAAACAGTGTCGTCTTCTCCAAAGAGACCTGCTTTTATTTTTCTTCCTTGTTTTTATGTAATTTTTGAGAGCACGGATAAAAAAATTCCAAGACCCTAATGAGCTTTAGTGCTTTCATTTTAATCCTACACATTACCGCTATTACAATGGCAATAAATGAAGGGATGACTATCAAATGGAGCAAAGAAGAAACAGTTAATATGCTAGAAAGGTAAAATAAACGCACTTTTTCATGTTTATGTGTATGTAATGTAGGCATACTACAAATTCTCTTTTGATCAATACTAACATGCTTTTTTTTACAGCCTACTTAACAACTCTAAAAGTTCCAAAGAACGATTCATAGAATTATTTTTTTTATAGGTTTTTAAAAGTTACTGTAGCCTTCGAAGGCCTACTCAACAACTTCTTGTTCCTACTTCATAATTTAACTTCCAGAAAATACCCTCTGTCACAACTTCACATTAGTTCTTGAGAGAAATCATTTTTTATACAGCTGTTAAGCACGTGTTTATTTCCAGGTTTTAGGAATAGATCCTGGACTTAAGTTTCCACAAACACTTCAGTAATACAGACCAAGGAAATCGGACACTGCTTAATCTCAAAGAATGTGGAGCCTTTTTGTTCCATTTTCTACTGACTGCATATGTTAACCAAGCCCTACAACACAGGAATTCCCTTATATCCCAAATGTGGCCACACAGAGTTTTTACCTTAAATAAAGCATATGTTAAAGTACTTATTTCTGCCAATCTTACAGTGCATCTCTCATTTTAAGCTAACGATTGTCACTACAAAACTGCTGAAATGAGGTGAAAAAAAAAAACCAAAAACAGAAACCCTCAGATAAGCATGAAAGCAGCATAAGAAGAGCTAAAGCTTCACGATTTCCTCAGAGAACAGTACCACCATCTCAGAAGTGGGTTTGGTTTGCCTTTTTTTTTTTTTTGTGTTAAATAGTCACCTTTTTACATTGAAGAGGAGCATAATTTTATCTGTGTCAGTCAGTTTGTGTCAGTGCAAATTTCCTGTTGCTACAGGATCTACTAAAGGAGGACTTCATGATACCTGCTCCAAATCGCAAAAGGGTTTTAAAGCAGAGACTGCTTTTGTGTAGGTCTATTATTTTATGATGGACAGAAGCAACTCTACCTATGCCCGTATGAAGGGAGCTAAGCAAGCATTATTATTATTCATCCTGCTGTTTCTTCATAGCTTTCCAGTGCTGAGACCTGCACTCAGTTGTTCCCTGGACTACATGCAATCACCAAAGGGAAAAGGAAGTAAATGTTAAGGATTTATTTTTTTTTCAGACTTAACCGTTTCTATTTCAAACAGATAGTGCCTACGTGCTTTCAGGGAACAGAGACTGGGTATCTCACTGAATGCTTTCTGCAGGAGTGCTATGAAGTAGCCTGAGTTAAAATATTGCCATTCAAAAATGACCAAATAATTAGAGTGCCTCAAGAAATAGGAAGAGCCGAGATTATTTTTCTTTCTTGAAATGAGAAAAATCAGATTAATAAAACACCAATCTAAATAGTGATTCCACTGTGCAAAATGACAAATACAAGTGCTTAAAGGTTCATACAGCCTGGCATACTGAGCACACTTCATGGAGAAAACCCACATATTACCTCCGTTGTCAAAAAGCTGACACAGATGACTAGTTCACAATTCAGGAACTGGATTGCAGATGTGAAATACTAATTCTGTTTGAGTGAAAACTTTTCATCTTTCTTCCAAGAGCTACTGAATGGTGTTTAACTCATCTTAGATTTAAAGCCAAGGAGAGGCTGATATGCCTCAGTTTACCAGGGAGAAAAAGCAAGCAAACACGTTGGCCTCCTCCCAGGAGGCAGGACTGCCATTTGTCCTCCAGTGGGAAACATCACTTACACAGATTTTGTTACCATCTATTAATGCAGGATGACTTCATTTGCTACTGGAAGGAGGGAAAAGATTTGTTCCAGCAAAACGGCAGCAGCACGAGACTAAACAGCAAAAGATGTTTCCGAACGTCTCTGACTTTTGTTGAAATACCATCGTTTTGGTGTAACGAGCTGTGCTAGTTAATAAACAGCATAATTTATATGGGGATGCAGCACAACTCTGAATACTAGCGCCCACCACCACTTGTTATTAATTACAATTTCTTCTGTTTGTTACTTTACAGGAAAGTAAGAGTTCAAGGAAAGCTTTCAAGGGGAGTTCTCTGGGAAGGAAGACTGTTGTGTCTTTCCATGAAGAAAACCACCCGACCTGCATGACGTGCTGAGGGCAGAGCCACCTGCCATCAGCGCGCGGCGCAGGAGGAGTTCTTTCCTGCATTACAAATTCGGAACAAGTGTATAAAAAGTGAGAGTTGGAAAATGGTCCTCTCCAAAAGGCGTGGATGTACCAGGATGTAGCCACTGTACAAAATTTACCCTTGGATAATTCTGGACAGAGATAAAAGCCCGCTGCTGACCTCCTGAAGAGGCGACCACCATTCCAGCCTGAGCATAATGAATAGTTTCCATCACGCGGCGCTCAAGTCACCGCCGACAACTGCACCACACACAAGAGTTGGTACGAGTTACAAAGAAAGTAATTCCTGTTAAAAGGCGTTAAACCAAACAAAAGAGGCTGTCCTTCTTTCACAGACTTTACATGAGGACAAAAATAGAAGGAAGTTGAAGCTTTTCTCCTCCCTGGCCTGGTGTGCTTATGTACCATGATAAATCTTTGTTGGATTGCTCCCGGAGCGTAGTGCCAGGAGGCTCGCACCGCCGGAAGGATCGCTCAAGTAAACGCAGCCAAGGGAGAAGCAGCTCCATGGAGTAAAGTGTAAGAGCAGCTCGTGAGACAGAAATTGCGTTTGCTGGACATCCTCAAGCACAAAATTTACTCTTACCTTTAAATACGGTAGGATCAATATTAATTTGTTTTTCTTTTCGTGCCTCGGAGAATAAAGTTCAATTAATATATGAACCCACAAGAGAAGGAAAGGGTCATGGCATCTGTTAATGCATAGGTCATCTTACAAAAGTTTTCACAACCCTAATTACAATGGTAATTGAATTATATTGTCTTAAAAGCTATAAAAATGCTAATTACCTGAGCTCAATGTACAAACATACAACCAGTGCAAAGCACAATTTCAGTCTCAAGAGTTAATTTATATTGTCCTTACCTGCACAGTTTGAACTAATAAGATGTGAAAATGTGGTTAAACCTGCCAAATAGTCTCTTATTAGTGTACTGCTTTAGTAAGAAGACTTTTGAGAATGACAAATATTTAAACATGAAATTAAGCATGTAATGAAATATTCCATCCAGTCAAGTAGAAAGCCACGGCTCTAACAGCTATGTCAGTTTGTAACCTACACACCAATTGTTATATTCACCTTTCTAAACATTCCAGCTTGAAAAACAAGAAAAGTAAGCTGCAGTGTTTGTAAAACATGCAACATTATGTTGAACACTCAAAAAAAAAAATCAAGAAAGCTCTTTAGCTGGTCTTTGCTCTCTTGTCTGCATTTTGTACTGTGCCATTAGGACTTTCTTGAACCTGCAGAATAGCTACCACTGAACTCGTGGGTTTGGTGAGGGTTTTATAGTTCACGTAAGGGCTCCTAGGTAGTTAGCTGGCTTAGGAATTCTTATCTTTCAGATACAGAATGATTTACTTGAACTCTGGTTTGACTTCAGCTCTGTACTTACAAGGGTATCTATGAACAAAATCCACATGTGAAACATGGAGGAATCCTCAGAAGGAGCTTTCTTGCTTAAACAGAGCTATTTACAGATCAGACATACCTGATTATATTACTTTAAATTACCAGGCAGAACAGTTTATTAATTGAATTAGTAAAAGAAAGAGTATAATAACTGATGTAGAGAAAGTAAAATGTCTGCCAACTTGAATTTATTTTCATGTGTGTGTTTCAGATGTCTTCTGTAATGTTGAAGTTGAATTTTCATTGGAGTTTCTTCGCTGATGATCTGGATAATTTTGTTTGTTTGGTTTTTTTAGATTGTTGAAGATCAGAACTGTATACAAATCTCATCATTCCTGACCATGATTAGTGTAACCTGGAGCATCTTCCTAATTTGGACTAAAATAGGGCTGTTACTTGACATGGCACCTTATTCTGTTAGTGCCAAACCATGCCCTTCAGTATGTCGCTGTGATGTGGGTTTCATATATTGTAATGATCGCGATTTGACATCTATTCCTACAGGAATCCCAGAGGATGCTACTACCCTCTTCCTTCAGAACAATCAAATTAATAATGCTGGGATTCCTTCAGAACTGAAGAACTTGCTTAGGGTGGAAAGAATATATTTATACCACAACAGCCTAGATGAATTCCCCACTAACCTCCCTAAGTACGTTAAAGAACTGCATTTGCAGGAGAATAACATAAGGACCATTACTTATGATTCACTTTCACAAATTCCCTATCTGGAAGAACTGCATTTGGATGATAATTCGGTTTCCGCTGTTAGCATTGAGGACGGAGCTTTCCGGGACAACATCTATCTCAGACTTCTTTTTCTCTCTCGAAATCACCTTAGCACCATTCCCTGGGGTTTGCCTAAAACGATAGAAGAGCTACGCTTGGATGATAATCGTATTTCCACGATTTCAGAGCTGTCCCTCCAAGACCTTACAAATCTAAAACGCCTTGTTTTAGACGGAAATCTTCTAAATAACCACGGATTAGGAGACAAGGTCTTCATGAATCTAGTCAATCTTACAGAACTGTCATTGGTCCGCAATTCACTCACAGCCGCACCAGTAAATTTGCCAGGAACAAACCTAAGAAAACTTTATCTTCAAGAAAACCATATAAATCGTGTGCCACCCAACGCTTTCTCTTACTTACGGCAGTTGTACCGGCTAGATATGTCCAACAACAATCTCAGCAATTTACCTCAGGGTGTCTTTGATGACCTGGACAACATAACTCAACTCTTCCTTCGTAACAACCCTTGGCACTGCGGGTGCAAAATGAAATGGGTCCGTGACTGGCTGCAGTCCTTACCCTTGAAAGTGAACGTGCGTGGGCTGATGTGCCAGGCACCGGAAAAAGTCCGTGGGATGGCTATCAAAGACCTCAACGCGGAACTGTTTGACTGTAAGGATGATATAAGCACCATCCAAATCACCACTGCGGTGCCAAACACCTTGTACCCGGCCCAGGGACACTGGCCGGTTTCTGTGACCAGACAGCCTGAGATGAAGGCTCCCAACCTGAACTAAGAACTACAGAACCACAGCCAGCCCGGTGCGCAAAGTCATTACGATATTCGTGAAATCCGTGAGCACGGAGACCATTCACATCTCCTGGAAAGTGGCGCTGCCGATGACCGCTCTGAGACTGAGCTGGCTCAAGATGGGCCACAGCCCTGCCTTTGGATCTATAACAGAAACCATCGTCACCGGAGACAGAAGCGACTACTTGCTGACGGCGCTCGAGCCCGAGTCGCCGTACCGCGTCTGCATGGTTCCCATGGAAACCAGCAACATCTATCTCTCCGACGAAACGCCCGAGTGCATCGAGACCGAGACGGCGCCCCTCAAGATGTACAACCCGACCACCACCCTCAACCGGGAGCAGGAGAAGGAGCCTTACAAAAACTCCAGCTTGCCCCTGGCCGCCATCATCGGCGGGGCGGTGGCGCTGGTGGCCATCGCGCTGCTGGCGCTGGTGTGCTGGTACGTCCACAGGAACGGGTCCCTCTTCTCCCGGAACTGCGCCTACAGCAAGGGACGCAGGAGAAAAGATGACTACGCCGAAGCGGGAACCAAGAAGGACAACTCCATCCTGGAAATCAGGGAGACTTCTTTCCAGATGATACCCATCACCAACGACCAGGTGTCCAAGGAGGAGTTTGTAATACACACCATCTTCCCGCCCAACGGCATGAACCTCTACAAGAACAGCCACAGTGAAAGCAGTAGTAACAGGAGCTACAGAGACAGTGGTATTCCAGATTCAGATCATTCGCACTCATGATACTGAAGGACGTGAAAGACTGGTTTGGTTTTGGTTTGGGTTCTTTTTGTTTTTTGTTTTATAAACGAGAAAAGACTGACTTTAACGGTTGCTGTTCTACTGCAAAACACTGGATTAAAGACTGACAAAGCAATGTACTGTACATTTGCCATATAATTTATATTTAAGAACTTTTTATTAAAAGTTTCAAATTTCAGGCTACTGCTGCGATTAATGTAGTGGGGATACCTGACCACAATTCTCTATTTTAGTATTTTTTAGTAATTTGTACTGTATTTTCCTTGCTAATATTGAAGTTACAGACCATTTAACTTTTGTGTTCTACTGAGTAAGATGACTTGTTGACTGTGAAAGTGAATTTTCTTGCCGTGTTGAGCAGTCAGAACATTCATCTGAGATCCTTGTAAGTGTAAGCACAGGCCATTTTTCACTTTGGTATTAATAAAATAATGTTAAACCTGGCAAATCAAGAAGATCAAGCAGTGGTTGCAAAAACTCACAGAACTTTAAATGTTGGGTCTATTAAATCTGTAAACCACAACAATATTCAATAAACAAAAATGCGTGTAGTAATGGGCAATATCAGCTGTCTGGATATATCCATGTCAACAATGGTGAAATCCAATTGAAAAGAAAATAATCAAATCAATTACATGCATGAGACTGAAACTGTTGACACGCGTAAGGAAAGAATTGACCCCTGGAAGAAAGCATAATGAAATTTCTAACAAGGAATTCAAAAAAAAAATAATAAAAATGCACTAGGCTCCAGAAACCACAGGGTAGATACGGTTTTAGGGATAGATTTCTGGTTATCAGCACCAGCGGTCTGCTTGTTACAGAGAAAACAGTGATGGATGGTCACAGGCATTTGGGAGGCAGGGGCAGGGCACAGGGAAAACGCTTGGCAACTGCTCCGGAACAGCAATGGGCTGAGAGGAGAGTTTCGTAAGAAAAACAAGCAGGACAAAAAACAGGCAATGCAAGCAAGGTATAAAAAATTCTAGTCACAAAGGTAAACAAAATTGGAGCTTACAGCTATTTTAAAAGCGTATACTCAAACAGTACGTAGGTATGTGTTAACTATACTGCCGTTACAGTCAGGAATACTGCCCATTACTGTCACAGTTTTCCAGAAATTCCTTGGTAAATCTGTAAGGTATCGTTTCTTTCTGCCTTCCTGCTGAACTATAAGCTATTTTCATGTTTAAACCCCAAGCCACTCTTTGTTGCCATAATCATTTGTTTCTTCAACTAAAAACCAAAGTGCATTGTACGCCCTTTGGCTAGTCTTGTATGTGCCTTGATCCAACGCTACATGTATCAAGCTTTTAAAAACAAAACAAAAAAAAATTAAAAAAAATAAAATACCCACTTTTTCATATGTAACTTAAATATGAAAAACATTGTTCTTATTGATGAATGAATTTGAAAAATTAGTACAGAGCAAAGTCACATGTCTGCAGTGCACTGGTAGGAAATTCACTCGAAAGCTACTACTTTTCAGGTCATGAGTTTCACCTTTTTCTTTGTTCAACACAGTATCACACTTCCTGGATTTCTTTAATTACTTTGAAAAAGCAAGTTTTCACAACTTCCAAGTGTGTTAGCAATGAACAAGAGGGAAAGCACAGAGTTACAGCCCTCTGAGATACAATTTTTTTCAACACCAAGAAAAAGATAGGGGGACCTACAAAAGCGTAATATTTTGGACAATATTTCTGCAAGGAAGGAATGTATACCAAATGCAATTCAATTATAAGAGAATTTTAGCAGTGCTGAGCCTGTCTGTTTCTCAATGACTGGTACAGGACAGAAGATGACGGGACAAAGTGAGAGACACCAAGACTGATGGTCAACCAGCAGTCAACCAGCAAATGACCCTTCTGCCAGAGGTCCCAGTAACACACAGCTCATTTCAACCTCATTTTCCAGTCACGGCAACACCACCTGCAGTTTCTGTGCGGCGGAGGAGTCTCCATAGAGGAGCAGCGTGGTGCTTCGCCACCGACCTCCCGTAGTCCCATCATCTCGTTAGAGGCAGCATCGTCAGGATCCACCACGCCAGAAGTACCAGGGGCATGTTCCGCTCAGCGGCTCTGTGTGCAGCTCTGGGTGATGCACGGGACTATTTTGCCCAAGAGGCACACACAGCCTTGCTATGTTCCTGTGCAAAAGGCTTCCTGAGCAGTAAGTGGGGAAGGAAAACCAACCCAAATGGACAAGACAGACCTGTTTTGTTTTTTTTCCATGTAAGCTAGCATACAGGGACCCTTACACCTGAGATGCATTTAATGTCTGGATCACTGGCAACAGATAATTAGTTCTTTGCCATCAGCTCTCCAGTAGCAAAATTAAATGGGTTTTGCTGAGTTTTCAAGCTCTTGCTGCAAAAACCTCTCTTGTAGTTGACTCAACATGTATGATGTGTAAAGGGTAGCAGAAAACTCAATGAGTACTCTCCTGTGCCCCTACTTAGACCATCCAAAGGCAGCCCGGTGATGGTACACACCATCAACCTACACTTCGTGGATGATTCCACGCAAAGGTATGGGCTACAGCAAGCTGCCATTTGAGGAGGTAATTGTGTACCAGTCCTACGTGCAAGGACTTCTGCATTATAAAATTAATGTACTTTGAGACAAAAACATGCAAATCCAAAGCACCCTCAACAAGTTGGCCCAGTCATTCCACGTTCACCTCCACCAGAAAGCAGATGAAAACCTGGAGAAATGATGCCATCCTCTGTGGCAAAACAGACCAGGTGTGCAGGCAGAGCCGGTTGCTTCCTACAGCAGTTGCTGTCAATGTAAAAACCACGGCACATCTATGGTTCTTGAGTTCTATGGCAGCTTTCACAGAACATGCATAATATTCAGACGTGTCAACTTGGCAAGTGAAAGATTCATTTCAAACTAGACTTTGTATTTTTTTTGTCTTTTGATATTTACATAAATTTCTGTTCTGCTTCATGCCACGACTGTCTCCCAAGACTCTTCTGCTTAACATAGCACTACAGTTAGAGCATGCAGTGCTCTCCAGCACCATGCATAAATCCCTTCTATTAGACAGTTCTATATGTAGACAAATATGATTACTACATTGAGCAGTTTGCTCATCATATTTATCAAAATTAATCCACATTAAATTATCTCAAATAACTATAATTCCACATTATTTCAGTCTACTGTCAAATACTTAATTTCAGAGCATGGAGTGAAATTTTGTTTTCAACATAACCAAAACGTATGTGCCGAGTTAATTGAATCAGCATCTTCAATGTTAAAATTCTACGCCTGGCATCTTTTACATTCCTTATTCTTGTCCCTTTTTAAATTTATATTGCTATCCCGAATTGCTCACAGTTCTGTTGTAAACTAAAAGCTGACTCCAAAAAAACAGCTGGTATTTTGGAAGCCATATTAATTTTGTCTCATCTCAGTAAACTTCCACAACTACATTTGCTTCATTTATAAGCTATTATTTCCTAACTGTACAACAGCCTGAAATGCAACAACTGTTGGGGTTTGGGGTTGGTTTTTTTTGTTTTGTTTTGTTTTTCTCCCTGGCTTTAACAGGACCAATATCAAAGCATTATGGCTTTGGAACAGTTACCAATTCTGCTAATGCACTAGCTAGCATGCAAGCTATATTGTGCCAATGCTGTACATATTGAATGTAGAGCAGCAAATGCAATAAAGCAAGAACGAAAGTAATAAAGAGCCTTATTTGCTAGTAAAATAATTTACTGATAACATAATGCACTGAATACATTATAGATTTCTCTCTCTTAAGAGGATGCATTTCTGTGCGTTCACCTGCAACTGGACAGGATCTTTGAATGTGACCTGGCAAAGCCACCTGCCTGGACTTGTCCAAACCAGATTTGTTTCAGTTTTGGATGGAACCATCACTTGCAAGGATATCCTCTGCTTTCAAAACAGCTTCACATGACTTTCAAATCCACAGAGGCACCCTCACCGCTTAGTGTTTCAGCATCACCTTGGGACTGAGCTTTGTTTAATTAACTGTTTCTTAAGTGTCACCACAACAACAAGCTTCAAGCCACAAGCCACCACTTACCACAACTGAAACCTTTACAACGCATTTTTCCAAACTAGCCAGGAGTGATTCGCCAGAAAGGAAGAGCCAATTGACTGAATTCAGACATGACAATTTTACACTTTAAAGCATATTTTTTCTTTGTGAATGAATTCAATTTGGGGGATGGTGGAGGATGATGAAATGACCCTTGTGATAAAATCGTTGTTTCAAACACTCTGAAGGTATAACTATGACACAGAGGCTGGGCACAGGTGGTTTAAAAGATTTTTTCTGCTAAACATGCACATTAGATTGAATTTTAATAGTAAATCATCAGATTATTTCCTGTTCCTCTCAAAAACAACAACAAAAAATAGATTAAAAAACACACTAACTATGTGGAACTAAATAAAAGAATGGCAGAACATCTAGTTGGGGGCAAGCATCGCTTTCATTTTACCAGCATCAAGCAAGATGCTAATTTTCCTGTAGTCTTCAATGATTGCTGGGGAACTTTCCTATTCCATGTGGAAACCACAGAACTTCTAAAATATGGGTCCCAGAATAAAGACCTGTCCTCTGGCAGCTCCCTGGATTAATGGTGGTCAAAGGCGCAAGGAAGGAATGGCGATGGCCAGCAGCTGACCCCTGTGGAGAACATGCTGCCAACATGCCCCACATCTCAGACCAGGCAGAACTTCATCATAAGCTATCCCTGAAACCTGAAAGACAGGGTTTGAGGGCTGAAGTGTATCAGCTAGCCCCAATCGCTTATTACTACCTCCTTGTGTTTTCTCAGGATGAGAACACAGGGGAGTTGTGGTAACAACACCAGGAGCTGAAAACGCTTTTTGAAATCTGAACCTGGACCTTCTAGCTTAGCAAGAGCGCTCATAAATAAGTTATAAAAATAGAAGTGTCTTAGGAGGGCTAATTAAATAATCTGACTTGTTGAAGCGGGCTGATAGCACTCATATGGGCTGATGCCCTGTCCTGAACAGCCCTCTTAAGTAACCAAACCAAGGGAGCAGATCATAGCCGAGTGCCAGCCCCTGCTCCTGCTCCCGTGTGGAGCTTAAGCACTGCCTATCTATAGATGCAGTCACGGAAGGTCTCACTGCTCAAAGCCAGGGGCTGCTCGATGGTCTTCCATCATCAAATACAGGAACATCATCTACAGAAGGCCTAAATTATGCACATACTAACTTGGAGTAATAATTGAACTTTTTAATTTAAGCAAAATAATTCAAAAGATCTCGAAGATCAGAAGTGCACATCCTATTCATGTAGTACTCATTTCCTCCTCTAGTCTTTGTTCCTGATAAATGCCTACCTGGCAGCTGGATTTCCACATGAAAGCAGGTGTTTTCTGCGGGTACTGGTATTGGTTTTGTTTAATTTGCTGGTTTTAGTTGTTGATATTTTTTTTTAATAGGCGTAAATAATTTCACTCTAAATCTTTCAGTTTAAATTGGATATAAAAGTGAATTGGTTGACAATTTTAACACCTATCCCACATCAATACATGCTTAAGGCAAGCGTGGGGGGGGGGGTTAAAATAGCACCCACAAACTTCCCTTTCTCATCTCTTCTCACATTAATGCTTTTCAGGATTTTAACTGAAAAGCATTGCTTTTTTTACAAGAATTGCACTAGGGTAATTACAGTAGTTCGCAGTGCTGTAAGTTCCTGTGTAAAATATGGAAGTTTTTATTCTGAGACGCATACAAGCAACTGCATTTATGTAGGCAGTTGTGCATCAGAAACAACAACAAATCAGACACAGCAGCCATGTCGAGCCTAAGCCTTTGACCAACGCTGAACCTGCTACATTAGCATCGTTTTCTGAATTACCAGAACAGGCATTAGCAGCTCAGATGAGGAGTATACGAAAGCACGCTTACCTCGCACATCATCTCAGGCTACAGCTCTCTACGTGTAAAGTGGGATTAGTTTGGCTTCCTTGAACTTAAGTGTTGTTTTTCCATGGCTTCAATGGGAAAACAATTAAATGAATGCTCAAAAAAATGAAACCACCTACCCGGGAACACTGCTGTTCCGACAAGGAAGAGGATTTAGGAAGCCACTCTGTAACTCTTACTCCAGGAGCACAGACAAGACCCAAGCCTGTACAGACTCTCCATCCCTTTCAGCCTGCGTGTTGTACTTGCTCACCCCCCATGTAATTAACACCATGAATCAGAAACAGATGTGATTTGCACCACACTCCTCTAAGAAGAAACAAACCCCAAACACTGCTTTTGTTTCCTGCAGCTGGAACAAGGCGCAGGATCCTGGTAACTGCAGCATCTCCACTTCGTGGCCGCTTGTTTACCTGGTTTCAGTGATCTGCACGAGAAGCGGCGAAGGCGCTTATTTTGAAGCCTGACAGAATACTTGACTGCCCGTAGGGAACACGAGCTCATTAACAGAGAGAAAGCCGAATACTGGGGAAGTGCTAACCCAGCGAGTAAACATAATTTTAGGACATTAGCTGATAATGCCGAGCCTCTGTGCCTAATGTCTGCAAAGCAATTATTTTACTGTGACAGCACCTTAATGGCATGTTACCTGTTTCATCCATTAATAACCTTTTCATTTCTCTCCGATGCGGTAACGACACGCGGCAGTACCACCATGAGAACCGGTATTCCCCAATCTCGGAAGCTGCTTTGGCATCTGGGACTCGGCGCTTTGTGGCCAAGCGAGGTGAAAAGCCAGCTACAGGCGAATCCTGCCGGGGGGCTGAGCTGCCAGCCCCACGCCAGCCCCGTGCCCAAGGGAGAAAAGGTAACGATGGCAGGATGCACCCTGCAGCGGCAGGGAGGACACGAGCACCTCCAACAGGGTCTGCTCAGGCTCCTGGAGCTGGGTTTGGCTGCAGGGGAGTTTTTGCTGCTGCTCTGAAAGCTCAAGAAGGTTGAGCACAAACAAGGCAGTAACCACCTTTAAGGTCTTCTTCCTTTTTTTTTCCTTTTTTTTCCCATTCTTTTTAGATTAAGCTGATAGAGTTTGTTCAGTAAACACAACCAATTTGCATGTAAGAAGCTCTTCACTGCTAATTGCATTTGTCCACATACAGTGGCAAGGTGGTAAAATCTCCTCAAAGAGTTTGCTGTTAAATCTACGGCAGGCACATTGCAAAACATTTACCCTCAAAATCTCCAACTATTACCCGAGCTTACGAGCATACATGATGCTAAGGGGAAAAATAAATAAATCAGATATTCCTAAGAAGCTGCTCTCAACATTGCTGCTTGCCTCCGGCCCATATTTATACTGAGAAAATCCAAATAAACAAGGTCAGTTAAGGAGAATTCTTAGGGAGAGATTTAACACCACAAAACACGATTTCCGCTACTCAAAACTGAACTATAGTGAACGTAAGAACAACAGCTTGGTTTCTGAAGGCTCATCCGTGCCAGTAAGTGCTCAGGTCTTTAACTGCCTGCTGGCCTGGGGACCCCATCGACACTGGGGCTGCCCTGACCACTGCAGACAGAGGCACTGAGAGGAGCCCAGTGCAACTGAGCCTCCAGCAAACAGGGACAGGGACATCCCAAATTATGGGACCTCCTACTACCCTAGGCTTTAAAAAAAAATACCACTTTCCCCTCCACCCCCCAAAAATAAATAAAAAATAAATGACACAGTTTTCACGCATGGATGTTTTGATGCAATGCTCAGTTTCCCCTGCGAAATACCTTTTAAGGTCTACTCTATTTGAATTCACAAACAATTGTAGCTGCCATGAGCATGTTTTCATTAAGGACTTTTTCCCCCCCAGACCTCCTGATACACTTCAATGCACATTCTACGCAGAAGGAAATGAATGTTTGTGCACAAGGCTTCATCGACATCTTCTTATTTTCCCTACCTTATCAACTGACTGACTCTTTCTAAAAGCGTTTTTATCTTTTTCAGTCATTAAATATTAAAACCAAAAAAAAAAATGTTTGCCAATTTAGCTTTTAGGACACTACTGATAGGAGGAAAGGGAAAGGAAGGAGAGCCATTAAACTAAGATTCTAATTAGGGGAAAAAGCATGCTACAATATGTTGCAGGTAGATATCCTGCTTTACTGACGGGGGGAAATAAACCTTCACAAATCCTGCTGCATTGACCAAAGGCCCTATGGAGGTGCTTATGCAAGATTGTGATCTAATCAAAAGCTTTTCTCTTCGAAAGATGGGAGCTGTGCGACTATTCACTATTTGTTTTATTATTTGTATTTTTGTTTGTTTGTTTTTTACTCCTCCACACGACAGAAAATACTCCCTGATACTGATGGGTTTAAAATAAAAACATCTTTACCTATTGCTGCTTCTCATGCTAACAAAGACTAACTTCATCCTTTAATAAAATCCCTCTAAACCAATCCAAACGCATTCAGCAGGTCGAAAGGCTACCAGCGAAGCATCCATCAACAGAAACCAGGTCTGGATTATGCAAAGCTTCTGCTGCGAAGGAATGACCAACAACTTCAGAGGGAAAATAAGAGGAGATGGCAAACAAAAGCGTTCGCCACCAACACAGAAATGCCTTAATGCAGGAGCAGCGGGAGCCTGGGGATGCTCGGGCCCGATGGGGCGGCACAGCAGCGGCCAAACAGGCAGGCTCCTCGCTCAGGCTGCATTCCTGCAGAGAGGCAAGCAGCCGTGCCAGGCGCTG